CCTTCGCCTCCACCACCGTCGCCACTATCGTCGACGGAGGAGGTTAGGCTTTTATATATTTTAATGCACACTATTTTTCCCCTTTTCTCTTTTACTTGACTTTTGCTCCGCTTTCCTCTTTTCCTCGTTCGACGAGAGAAGGGCACAGAAGAACGGAGAACGTTGCACCGTAAATATTAAAAAAAAGAAAAAACGTCGCGGTGAGACGAGATCGGAACACGAACAATAAACGCACCACCAGTCAAAACACAAAGACGAGACGACACGGCAGTAGTTACGATCGAAGGAATATCATCGATGATCATCGACAGGCATGCACGAGAGAAACGTGTACAAGCGCGTGAACGGACAAACGCGGGCCGGCGACCAGCCGAAGGTTTAACAGCCGACGCGCGTTTCCTCGCCTATTAACCGAAACGTAATCTCGACGAAGATACGAGGACCGCGTGGGAAGGCCGGCGCATACAAGGGAGGAGAGGAGGTGCAATATACACACGGCTGATAGAAACGAGGGGACAAGGAAGAAGTAACACGATGGAGCGTGTATGATGTAGGTTGAGTCGTGTGTAGAGTTGCCCCCGAACCCCGTGGTGTGTGTCGTATTTAGCGCGCGCGCTGCCAGCAACTTTTCGTGCGTCGTCGTCGTGTGTGTATACGCGTCTAGGTATCTTTTCTCTCTTTTTCTTTCGTTTCTTATTGCGTACACCAGGCGCTTAGTCCGCGCGCCACGTATCCGCACGATGGTGGCCACGATGCTTTAGCGAGCGCGCGATCCTGCTGCTGCTGTTGCTTCGATTCCGTGTGCAGGTAAGTACAAAGAACACGCGCGACGGCGAGTACGGCACCACGACGACGGTGACGACGTTGCTGTTGTTGTTGTTGTTGACGGTGCACGCGCCGGACGGCCATCGTGCCCGTAGTAAGGTCCCGAGGTTGCGTGTTTGCGTATCTAGTCCCGAATCCGTTGGCTCGACGTGCTCTGCCTGGATGCTCGGTGCCGACTGCCGGTCACAGTGAGCTCGGGCGGGCGGCTCTCCCACGCGACGACCAATCACGACGCCGGATTCACCGCCGCTGCTTCCCTCGCCGACGCGCCACCTCACCCCCACCCTCACCCCCCGCGAGGCCACGGCCGGCCAGTCATGGCAGGCAAGGCGGCGAACCGACCTCACCCGAACCTCTCCGAATTCATCCGAACTTCTAGCA